AATGGATGATCCAGATTGTCTCTTCCTCTCTTGTTTCTCTATAGAGTCTGATTCTGTAATCTAGGAACCATAAAAGCTTCTTCCTTTTCTGCTTCTTTAGTATCTAGGCTTCTTTCTTACACAGGATCTACTTGGAAGCTTTTTCTCATCCCCTGTTCAAGCTATCCTCTTCCAAAAGACAAAAACCTCGTCCCCTGTCTAACTTCTTGGTACCTCAAATATGATACTTGATATGATACTTAGCTAATGGATGAATCAGGTTGCCTCTTTCTCTTCTGTTTCTCCATTATGCGAGCTTCTCTCTGACCCAAGACTGATTTGGAAGCTCTTCCTTATCCTCTGTTCAAGCTATCCTCTTCCAAAAGTCAAAAACATCGTCCCCTGTCTAACTTCTTGGTACCCCAAATATGATACTAGCTAACGGATGATCCAGATTGTCTCTTGCTCTCTTGTTTCTTCTTTATATGAGCTTCTCTTTTAGCCAAAATTAATTTGAAAGCTTCTGCTTATTCTTCTTTCAAACTGTCCTCTTCCAAAGTCAAAAACATCGTCCCCTGTCTAACTTCTTGGTACCCCAAATGTGACACTATTTAACGGATGAACCGGAATGAACCTTGTCCGATCCAATTGTTCGGAGCAAATGAAGGGAAGATGGAGGAAACGAAGTTATGGGAAGAAGGACGAGGGAAGGGCAGGGGTGGAAGAAGATCCATAGGCGTGGGAGCGCGGGAACGACACAGGGGCAGAGGCTCTCGAATCTAACGCCGTTCGTCGTAAAGCAACGGATCGCCTCGTATAAAATAAAAAGGGACAGATTAACGGCCGTGAACGTGGGGCCTGCTCTCTCGCGCGTGCATGCATTAGACGTGTGCACGACCCTCCCACGCGCCACCGCCTTCGTCTCTCTCTGTCTCTCCTTCACGTCTCTCCGTTTCGAGACGCTGCTCTTCCCTGTTCGACGCTTCGAGAGTATCATGTGTTCCCCGCGAATTTAATTGCCTCCATAAATATCGCGGGCCTTCCATGCCCGAGCAACGTTGAAATACGACGGTGGATGGAGGGGTCCTACCCCCTCCACCGCGGTCTTACCCTTGGGGCCCGCGAGGCGGGAGAAAAAGTGGATCGTCCCGATTGGCGGACTGGTGGTGTGTTCCTGGGGATGGTGAGCCTTCATTCGGGACCTTTTATGGGGTTTTCTGATATATTTCCAGTTGTTAAGTATCTCTGTATATTTTACTATTATTTATCTTTTATTTTGGGAAATTCCTTTTTTTGTATTTTTTGGAGAAGTGACTTGTATTCTTATTTAGCACTTATTTGAGAAATATTTTCTTTTTTTTTTTGTATTATATAGGGAAATGTGTTATGGAGGTAGTATTTATTTTTGGAATTTTTATTTGAAATTGTGGGTTTTTGGAATATTATATAGAAATTATGGTTTTATTTCTTAAGTCTCTCTGTATTTTTATTTATTATTTATTTGGGAATTTGTGTGTTTCCTTTGGTATTATATGGGGAAGTGTCTTATAGAGGTAGTATTTATTTTTGGAATTTTTATTTGAGATTGTGGGTTTTTGAGAATATTGTATAGAAATTATGGTTTTATTTGTTAGGTATCTCTGTATTTTTATTTATTATTTATCTAGGAAATTTTATTCCTCCTTTTGTATTATATGGGAAAATATCTTATGGAGGTTGTATTTATTTTTAGAATTTTTACTTCAGATTGTGGATTTTTGGAAATATCGTATAGAAATTAGAAATTGTGGTTTTATTTGTTAGGTATCTCTGTATTTTTATTTATTATTTATCTAGGAAATTTTATTCCTCCCTTTGTATTATATGGGAAAATATCTTATGGAGGTTGTATTTATTTTTAGAATTTTTACTTCAGATTGTGGATTTTTGGAAATATCGTATAGAAATTAGAAATTGTGGTTTTATTTGTTAGGTATCTCTGTATTTTTATTTATTATTTATCTAGGAAATTTTATTCCTCCCTTTGTATTATATGGGAAAATATCTTATGGAGGTTGTATTTATTTTTAGAATTTTTACTTCAGATTGTGGATTTTTGGAAATATCGTATAGAAATTAGAAATTGTGGTTTTATTTGTTAGGTATCTCTGTATTTTTATTTATTATTTATCTAGGAAATTTTATTCCTCCCTTTGTATTATATGGGAAAATATCTTATGGAGGTTGTATTTATTTTTAGAATTTTTACTTCAGATTGTGGATTTTTGGAAATATCGTATAGAAATTAGAAATTGTGGTTTTATTTGTTAGGTATCTCTGTATTTTTATTTATTATTTATCTAGGAAATTTTATTCCTCCCTTTGTATTATATGGGAAAATATCTTATGGAGGTTGTATTTATTTTTAGAATTTTTACTTCAGATTGTGGATTTTTGGAAATATCGTATAGAAATTAGAAATTGTGGTTTTATTTGTTAGGTATCTCTGTATTTTTATTTATTATTTATCTAGGAAATTTTGTTCTTCCTTTTGTATTATATGGGGAAGTGTCTTATGGAGGTAGCACTTATTTTCGGAATTTTTATTTCAGTCTGTGGGTTCTTCCAAAGATTGTACAGAAATTATCTGGTTTCATTTGTTAGGTATCTTCGAAATTCTGTATTTATATTACATTGGGTCATATATTTGGTCGTAGAGCGATCGAAATTAAACTCACGACGATTATAAATACAGCACAGAAGCCTGGCGAAATTCCAGCGACTCGCGTTCATTCCGCGGCCTTTATAATCGCGTTCACTCACCTTCCTCCGCTTCCGTTCGTCCGGAACACGGTGTTTGCCAAGAGATCGTGACCACTCGTTTCGATTTCCGTTTCGCGGGCCTTGACAGCTTCCGTTCATCCGTGACGGCCGGAAATCCCGGAAATTTATCGACTTCTCACGTGTTGCGAATCGGTATCCTCGAAAACATTTCTACCCCCTTGCGAGTCTTGCGTTTTCTCCTTATTCACCCACCTCGTGAATCCTCTGTCACCTTTGTCTTAGAAATTTTCATTATTTTTCTCCTAGGTTGTGTATCTTTTTCTTGAATTTTATCTCGGATGCCTGCGTTCGTTTCTAAAATTTCGACGAATACTGGAATTTTTTGACATTAGAGATATTATTAAAGAATATTACAAAGAAATAGGATAATACAGGTATTAAGGGTACAGAAATACTAAGTGTATAATAAGCATATATCGAAGTTCTCTAAGGCTACTAAGCTTATGTTAAAAATTATTAAAAATATTAAGGTTATACAGAAGGTAAGAATACTAAATTATGCAAAATTTGTATCAGAGGTAATACCGAAGATTATACCAAGATCCCAGATACCAAACATCGCTATAAAAACATACTAAAGCAACTAAGATACACCAAAACACAATTCATCACAAGGGAA